GTCCCTCTTGGTACGACCTCCCTTTGGTACGCGTCCGTTCGCCACGTATCCTTTCGTACGCGAGCTTCTGGTACGTACCCACTCACTGTACGTATCCACTCGACATGTATCTTCCCAGCAAGTGTCCTTTCGGTCCTTAGCGCACCCAAGCTAGGAGTCTCGACGAAAAAAGAAACCCGAAAAAAGGCCGAAAAGGGAGTGAGAACTTGTGAATCACCCTGTCCCCTTCCCCGAGACAGTGAGAGCCCCCCCCCCCTCATTCGTAATGAGAGCGACCTGCCCGACGGATCAGGGTACCAGGACACGGTACCCGACACCCGACAGAGGCCCGAGCGTTAACGACGGGGACGGCGTCGGTCACCATACATGGCTCTGCGCGTCCACCTGGGGATTCTGCCTTCGTTCGCGCCTCGTTCTCTCTCTCTCTTCTCTCTCTCTCTCTCGCTTCTCTCTCTCTCTCTCTCTCTCTCGCTTCTCTTTCTCGCTCTCTTCCTCTCGCTTCTCTTTCTCGCTCTCCTCTCTCTCTTCGCTCTCTCTCTCTCTCTCTCTCTCTCTCTCCTCTTCTCTCTCTCTCTTCTCTCTCTCTCTCTCTCTCTCTCTCTCTCTCTCTCTCTCTCGCTTCGTCTCTTCTCTCTCTCTCTCTCTCACTTCGCTTCGTCTCTTCTCTCTCTCTCTCTCTCCCGCTTTCGTCTCTCTCTCTCTCTCTCTCACTCGCTTCGTCTCTTCTCTCTCTCTAGCTTCGTCTCTCTCTCTATTTTTTCTGGATGTATTTCTTGTTGTATTTCGGTGCATTTTGACTACAGAGAATCGAAATCTGAATGATGTATTTCTTGTTGTTGTTACATTTTAATTTGTTTTGATCTACGAAAGAATTTTTATCTGGATCGCCTGGTGTAACAAAGTATTTCCTTACTGTTGTATTAAATGTATTCTAAGAGAAAGAAAGTGAGAGCGTCGACCTACGTTGTGTATGTAGCAGCACAGATCTTTATGTATCTTATCTAGTTTATAAATTATCATTGTTATTTATCTTTATTGTTGTTTTTTTTATTCATTTGATTATTGTGATCATGTGTTTTTATGTATTTCTTGTATTTTTTTTTCGGAAATGTGAATCGGGGTTTTTTTCTCTCCTTCCTTCTTGTATTTTTTTTTTTTTTTTTTGTCTCCTCCTTATTCTCTCTTCGCGTCCCCGCCTCAGTCTCCTCTTCCTAATTTCTCAACCTTTCCCCCCCTCTTCTTTCCTTCATTTTCTTCCCTACTCCTCTTCCCTTCTTCTTTTCTCTTCTTTTTCTTTTCTTCTTCTTTCCTCTTTTTCTTCCTCCTACCTACTCTCTACCTACCCACCCCCTTCTACTCCACCTTCTCCCCTCCCTCCCTTCACCCCCTCCTCCACCCCCTCCCCCACTCCCCCTCGCCTCACCCCCCTCCCCCTTCTCACCCCTCCCACCTCCCTCCTCCTCCCACCCCCCACCCCACCCTCCCCTCTCCCTCCTCCCCACCTCCTCCCCCTCCCTCCCTTCCCCACCGTCTTCCCCGCTGAGATAAGAAGCCGCTCCGGGGGGCTCCGCGGCCGTCGGGGCTTTAAGAAACTCCCGCAGAAAATGATCGCGCCATATAAGGTCAACATTTAATATTAATTCCGCAAAACTGGTCATGCGCGGAATCGAAGGAAGAGGGGGGTGGGGGGGGGGGAAGGGGGGAGAGAGAGGGGGAGGGGGAAGGAGAGAGAGAGAGAGAGAGGGGGGAGGGGAGAGGAAGGGAGTGGTGGGGGGGGAAGGAGGAGAGAGGGAGGGGGGAAAGGGAGAGAGAGAGAGAGAGGGAGGGGAGGAGGGAGAAAGGGGAGAAGGAGGGAGAGAGAGAGAGAGAGGAGAGAGGAAGAGAGAGAGAGAGGAGAGAGAGAGAGAGAGAGAGAGAGGAGAGAGAGAGAGGAGAGAGAGAGAGAGAGGGAGAGGGAGGGGAGGGAGGGAAGGAAGGAAGGAGGAGAGAGAGAGAAAGAGAGAGAGAGAGAGAGAGAGAGAGAGAGAAGAGAGAGAGATGAGAGAGAGAGAGAGAGAGAGAGAGAGAGAGAGAGAAGAGAGGAGAGGGAAGGGGGGGGGAGAAGGAGGAGAGAGGGGGGGAGGCGGGGAGGAGAGAGAGAGAGAGGGGAGGGGGGAGAGGGGGAAGGAGGAGAATGAGGGAGGGTGGAAGGAGAGGGGGAGAAGTGGGGGATTTGGGAAGGGCATGGGAAGAGAGGAGAAGGGGCATAGAATGGGAGAGAAGGAAGGGAATAAGAGGAAAGAGGAGGAAATGGGGGAGATGTGAAGGGAGAGGACGAAATGGAGATAGAATGGGCGTGGGAAAGGGGAAAGGGGGAGGGAGGCGGTTGAGTATTATGGGGGGGGGAGAATGGGTTGGGGGTGGGGGGTAAGGATAGTGGTGGGGATGATGGGGAGGGGGGAGGACATCAGAGGTAGGGAGGAGAAGACGAAGGAAGAGGAAGAGGAAGAAAAAGAAGAAAGAAAGAAGAGAATGAGGAGGAGAAAGAGAGACAGAAAGAAAGAAGAAAAAGAAGAAGAGAAGGAGGAGGAGAAAGAAAGACAAAAAAGAAAGAATGAAAAAAACAAAAACAAAAAAACAGAGAAATTTCGACTGAAAGCCAAGGGGAGTTGAGATGAGGGTAGAGGATAGGGGGATGGAGGTGAGGTAGGGGGGTAGGGAAGAAATGTGGGGTATGGGGAGGGAGGTTCCGTGATTCGGATGAGCGCCCAGAAATGTGCTTGCTTGCGGGGGGAGGTTTTCCCTTCGCCCCTCCTCCCCCTCCCCTGCCTCCTCTCCCCCTCTTCGCCCCACCTCCTCCCCTCTCCCCCCGCTTCGCCCCCTCCCCTGATTATATTGTATGCTCGTTATATGTGGCGGTTAGTTAGATGGTCTGGCCATTATATAAGTCTATGTCAAGATATATATGTTTGTATTTTTGGTGTTTTATGGATCGGACTATAATGCTCTTTTATTATGCCGTAGAGCCGTCATGGGGAGAGGTGCTAGTTGCTCTCTCACTGCGTCTTCCCCTGACTTCCGCTTTTAGCCTGTATTTGGATTTCGCACGTCTCTTCTTGCTCTTTTCTTGTATATAGATTTATGCGAGCATAGCGTGTGATGAGAGTCGATGCTTCTCGCCCCCCCAGTAGTGTGAAATAGGGATATTTCGTATCGACAGTTCTTGCAACACACAGCCAAGGGAGTCCGTTACTCTTCCGCAACGCTCCCCACCTCCGCCACGCTTCTCCTGGATGGCTCTAATCTACCGGGGGCGCAAGCGGCGAGGTCCTTCCGAACGCCGTGCTTGGCTTGCTTGTTTTGTTTGTCGTGTTTATCCTAGTTGGTTTGATTTCTTTGCTTCGAAAACTTACTGTGTTTATAATTAATTTCGTGGTCGTAATAGTCTTGGGCTTGTTCCTTCACTAAATAGGTTTGCTTGTTTGAATTTGCTGCTTTTTAATAGACTTGCTTGTTTTTTCTCCTAAATTTCTGCTTGTTTTTCCTTACTAAATAGTTTCCTTGCTTTCTGCTTGATTTACTTTTTGATTCATGCTTTTTACTTGTTTGAATTCTGGCTAATAGCTAAAACTACTTTCTGCTTGTTTTACTTGCTTGCGTTTCTGCTTAATAGCTTGCTTGTTTCCTGCTTAACCATTTGCTTGTTTCCTACTAAATACCTTGTTTGTTTCCTGCTCAATAGTTTGCTTGATCCTCTGCTTTGCTTATTGCTTGCTTGCGGTAATAAACATGACAGAAGGAGGCTTTGGTTTATTCTTGATCGTCTCTAACTTTTTTTTTTTGTTTTTTTTTTTTTTTTGTTTTTTTGGTCTGTTGGGCGCCGTCGTTTTTGGTTATACGGGGAAGGACTGAAGGAGGAGGAGGAGGGGAGGTTAGAAAAAAGAAGGCAGGGAAAGAGCGAGAAAAGGGAAAAGGAGGAAGTAGGGGATAGGAAGAGGAGGGAAGGGAGACAAGAGAGGGGAGAGGCAGGAAGAGAGGGAATAGGGATGGGCAGGGAGGAGGGAGAGGGGAGAGGATGGAAAGCAGAAAGGAGACGGAGGAAGGGAGGATGAAAAGAGGGGAGGGAGGGAGGGAGGTGAGGGAGGAGGGAGAGGGAGAGAGGAAGAAAGAGTAAAGAGGATGAGAGGAGAGAGAGAAGAGAGAGAGAGAGGGAGTAGAGAGAGTAGAGGAGGAAGCAGGAAGATGAGGAAAGAGAGATCAGAGAGAAAAGAGAGAACCCAGTACACATCAAGCAGGCTGTGCCGACCACAGAGAGAGAAAGAAAAATAAAACGAACAGACACATCACGCTTCACCCCCACACCACCCCCACCATCCACCCCTCTTCCCTCCCTCCTCAACCTCCTCGACGCCCACCAACCAAAGCAAAGCTAGCCAAGACCGACGCCTCCACGCAAAACACAAGCCGCAAATACCCAACAGCAAACGAAGCCCCAAGCACGCCAAAAACACGCACAAGCATCTCGTGTGTTGATCTTGGGGCCCTTTAAGGAATCGCAGGGGGGGAGGGGGGAGGGGGGGGGTTAGGGCAGGGGGGAAGAGGCATGAGGACGAGAGAAGAGAGCAAGAAAGAGTGCATGGAGGGCATGGGTGGGCAGGGGGAGGGAGGCTGGGCATGAGGACGAGAGAGCAAAAGGAGGAGTTGCATGGAGGACAGGGAGCAGGGGGACAGAGGGGCAACGAGATAAGAGACAACAAAAAAGACTGAAGGAGGACAGGAGTGCATGGACGGAAGGGGAGCAGGGGGCCACGAGACAACAAGAAAAACAAGAGATAACCAAGAAGGACTACAAAGGGGACAGGAGGATGGAGGGAGGGGAGCACAGAGAACAACGAGACAACGAGAAAGAGCCCTGTGTTGCGTGCACTGGGAAGCGGGGGCAGCCGAGGCGAGCGGTCCGCCTAGAGTGCAGCGCGCGGAGGGGGGGGGGGGGGGGTTCGGGGCGCCAGGGGTTGACTGACTCGGAGGGCGACGCTGACCAAGGACGGACGGGACGTCTCGGGGCGCCGTGATGCTCATGACGCCTATCTCCGCTCCTGCTTCTTGCCTGCCCTGGCTACTTGTTTGCTGCTTACTTGTCTGCCTTGTCTTGTCTGCTAAGCTTGTCTTGCCTGCTTGCCTGCTTTACTTTGTTTGTCTGCTTGCCTGCCTGACTGCCTGCTTGTCTTACTTGTCTATCTGCTTGCCTGCCTGACTGCCTGCTTGTTTTACTTGTTTTTCTGCTAGCTTGTCTGCCTGACCTGCTGCTTGATTAGTGTTTATATGCTTGTTTGTCTGCCTGCTGCCTGCCATTGACTGCTTGCTTGGCTTCTGTCTGCCTGCCTGTAGCCTGCTTGTTTTAACTGTGTTTCTGCTAGCTTGTCTGCCTGCTTGCCTGCCTGACTGCTTGCTTGGCTTACTTGTTTGTCTGCTTGCTTGTCTGTCTGCCTACTTCCCTGTCTGCTTGGTTTACTTGTTTATCTGCTTGCTTGTCTATCTGCTTGTCTTGCTTGTTTGTCTATCTGCTTGTCTACCAGCCTATCTGTTCTGCCTGCTTTCGTATCTGCTTGTCTGTTTCCTGCTTCCATGTCTGCTTGTTCTACCTATCTGCCTGCTTCCGCATCCTGCTTGTCTACACAGCGCGACTTTCCCTGCTCTGCTAGTCTACCTATGCTGCCTGTCTATCTGCCTCTTTCCCTGTCTGCCTGTCTACCTGTCTGTCTAATCTGCCTGCTTCCCTGTCTACTTGTCTACCAGCTATCTGCCTGCCTGTTTCCGTATCTGCTTGTCTACCTGCCTGTCTGTCTGCCTCCTTTCCTGTCTGCCTGTCTACCTGCCTACCTGAAAGCCTGCACGTTCTCCAAATGTCCCTCAGACTACAACGGCGTCAGTATGTAAAATGGCCTTCGTTCATTTAAACTCCCAATGGTGAAGAGAAGAAAAAAAAAACGCATAAACAAACACAAACAAACAAGGACCATTGTCTTCCCACTTTAGACGTCAGCTGAGAGGCCTCCCATCCCTCTGACACCCCCGCTGCATGAAGTCTACGGACGTCCACGCCAGATTTCACAAGACCATTGCCTGGGATTTCGTGCCGTTCATAGCGAGAAACGAGAAAGAAATGGACGAATGAAGAAAAAATGAATAAAGGGAATGGAAGAGAAGAAACGGAGAGGAGAAATGGACGAATGAAGAAAAAGACGAAAATAAAAGGGAGGAAAGAAGAAGAAACGGAGAGGAATGAAATGGACGAACGAAGGAAGAAAAAACGAATGATAGGATAGGAAAAGAGAAGAAACGCGTGGCAGGAGGAAGAAATGAAGAAGGAAAAAAAAACAATGATAGGAATAGGAAAGAGAAGAAACGAACGAGAGGGAAGAAATGAAACGAACGAAGGAAAAAGCGAATGATAGGAAATAGGAAAAGAGAAGAAACGGAGAGGAGAAATAGAAGAAGGGAAACAAACTGTTAGAATGGAAATCGACAATTACCATTTCTTTCCTCTCCGTCAGTACCCATGAAGCCCTCCCTTCCTGTCTCCCGCTCTTCCTTCCCTTCTCCCTCCCTCCCTCTCATCCTTCCTTCATTCCCTCTTTCCCTCTCACATCCTTCCCTCCCCTCCTTCCTTCCTCCTCCCTCTCTCCTTCCTTCCTCCCTCCCTCCACTCCTTTCTCTCCCTCTCCTCTCCTCCCCTCACATTCCTCCTCCCTCCCCTCCCTCCCTTCATCCCTCCTCTCCCTCCCTCCCTCCCTCCTCCCTCCTCGCTCTCTTCTCTCCTCCTCCTCCCTCCTCCCTCCCTCCCTCCTCCTCTCATTCCTTTCCTCCCTCCCTTCTTCCCTCCCTCCCTCTCCCCTCCCTCCTCCTCCTCTCCCTCCCTCCCTCCCTCCCCTCCCTTCCTCACCCTCCCCTCCCCTCCTCCCTCCCCTCCCCCCATCCTAATGAACCCATCCCTCTTCCAGACTCAGAGAAATCGTCCCAAAAAGGAGACATAAAAAGGGCGCTCTGTGGAATGGCCTTGTCTTCGTGCCAAAGGTTTTTCGGGTGGATTAAGAGACTGGGTGAGTGACTGTCTTGACTGTCTGCCTCACTTGCTCGCCAAACGACCGACGGACTGTCTGCCTAAATGACTGTCTGTCTGTCTGTCTGTCTCACTTACGAGCTGGCTAACTGGGTGACGATGTAACTGACTTACTGACGACCTACCTGTCTCATCGACTGATTTATTGACAGACTGTCTAAATGACTGACTTATTAACTGACTGATTGACTAACTTACTAACTGACTGTGACTAACTTACTTACTGACTGACTTACTGACTATCTTACTAACTGACTGACTTACTGACTCGACTTTATGACTGACTACTGACTGACTGAACACCAACTGAACTGACTAAATGACTTACTCCCCCAACCCCACATAAAAAACTCATCTCAACGATTCTTATTGCCTGACTAAACCAGACTGACAAGCTGACTTCCCACCAGGACCCTGCGAAAGAAACGGCGGCGTGCTGACAGGCTGACTAAGCTGACGGGCAGAACACGGGATCTGCCTGTTAGCATAGCGTTTAGCTGGCGTTGCGTGTGGGGGCCGGGCAGGGAGGGGGGGGGGGGACACGCAACGGCCGACTCGCACTTGGCGTGATCGCTCTCTCTCTCTCTCTCCTCTCTCTCTCTCATCTCTCTCTCTCTTCTCTCTCTCTTCTCTCTCTCTCTCTCTCTTCTCTCTCTCTCTCTCTCTCTCTCTCCTTCTTTCTCTTCTCTTTGTATGCATGTATATTTATATATGCATACATACATACATATATACATACATACATACATACATAACATACATACATACATACACGCTAGCCTTATCTACGCATATCCATTTATANAGGGAGAGGGGAGGGAGTGGGGTGAAAGAGGGAAGGAGGAAAGGGAGGGAGAGGGGGGAGGGAGGGAAGGAGGAAAGGGAGGGAGAGGGAGGAGGGAGGGAGGGAGAGGGTAGAGGAAGGGAGGAAGGGAGGGAGGGAGAGAGAGAGAGAGAAACAAAGAAGTTGATGATAGAAGGAGAGAGAAAGAGAGAGAGAAGACTGTAAATGTGTTTATATGTAGTTATCTATTTTTTCATGTCTATTTACACGTGTGTGTGTGTATGTGCGTGTGTGTGTATGTGTTGCGTGTGTGTGTATGTGTGTGTGTATGTGCGTGTGTCATGTGTGTGTGTGTGTGTATGAGTACGTGTGTATGTTTCTATGCGCTGTACCTGCATACGTGCGTACTGTATGTATATATGCGCCGTATATGTGTACGTATGTGTGTGTGTGTATATAAATGCATACATCTGCTGTGTGCATAAGTAAGTCCATTACATACAGCTAAATTTGCATATAGAGCTGTTTCATTTATGCAAATTAACATATCCGCACTGACCATTAAGGGCGAATATCTTTTATATTGAAGCGACCAACATGCTGTACGTCAATTCATACACACACATGCACATACAGTCAAGCACATACACAGACATACGGAAAATATAATGATAAGATATATCATAAACTATAATGAATATATAATAAAATATAATGAACAGATAAAAAAAGAATATATATACAAAGACACACAAACAACCAAAAAGAAAAACAAAGATATATAGATATAGATATAGCATAAAACTACACACAGGACACATGCAACTAAAACAAAATTGATAAATGAAGGGGATAGATAAATGATAAATGAAGGGAATAGATAAGAGAATGATAATAATGATAGCAATGATATCCGGTTCCCTTTCCTGTTAATTATGCAATTTAGATTTATTAATTAGAATAACCAGTTTTGTTTTTATTGGATACATTTGTTATATGGAGATAGTGACAGAGAGGAGAAGAGAGAGAGAGAGGAGAATAAAGAGAGAGGAGACAAAGAGACAGACTGAAAGCCAGGTAGAGACAGACAGATAGATCTGAGAGGTGAGAGAGAGAGAAAGCGAGAGAGAGAGGGAGAGAGAGATGAGAGAGAGAGAGAGAGAGTTAGGTATGAGGATAATGATAATAATATGACAATGATGATATCAGTAATGTTGGCAATTATGTTGATGATAACCTACTACAAATAAAGGCACTGATAACAATGATAAGTAGCCTGATAATAACAGTAATGATTGCAGTGATGGTGAATTAGATAATAACAATAATGATAACAACGAATAATAATACCAATAATAAGAACAATAACAATGAATATTAGTTATGATGATAATTATTATAACAATGACTATTAGTTATTGATAATAGCAATAATTGTCATGACGATAGCATGACAATGATGAAAATGAAAATGATATTGACAAAAATTATAATAGTAATAATAATCTAATAATGTTTATAATGTTAATAATGTGAAAGATAGACTGACAATTGTAAGAGAGATAATGTTCACAATAATAACAACAGCATCAACAATAATGACTTTATATTGATAACAACAATAACAATAATTCTGACACATCTTGGATAAGAATAGAGCAAAAATGACAACAATCTTTTAGTTATTAAGTTATATTGATAATGTTTTAAAGAGAGAACAGCGAAATTCGTAATTATATTAGAATAATGATAATAACAATAATGATAAGGATACTAATTTTGATAAACTGATGACGATGATGATGCTAACGCAGTATTGTTAATGACAAACGATAATTATGTCATTAACAGTGACGAAAATAATTGTATTGTTGACAAATAATAAAAATAACCAAAAATAATATTCTAATATAACAATAATAATAACAATAACAAAACTGAAAAATAACAGCCATGAAATCATAACAATAACGACAGTGCCATTAGAAATGATACGGCCAGTAATAGCAATTATATATTAATTACTGCTGCTCTTCATCGGGGTATTACATGCATAATCTCTCTCACAATACTAACAGCATTATTAATATCCTGATCAATATCGGGAAAATTGAACC